TTTTTTTGAGTTGGAGTCTCACTCTGTCAGCCAGGCTGGAGTGCAGTAGCCGCTCCTGGACACTGTAGCCTCGACCTGCTGGGCTCCAGCGATCCTTCCACGGGATTACAGGCTGAGCCACCGAGCCCAGCTGAGAGAATTCTTAAAGACGTGGCCCCTTCTGGACAGCCCTAGCTCACCCCAGGGACCTGAGCTGGTTTCTGCCTGACTTCTCCCCAGCCAGGCCCACACATAGGTGGCTCAGCACACCTGCAGTCCTGTGGGCACCCTGGCTCGGGCTGGTCCCGGCCAAGAAGGCTGTGGCCAGGGCCTAGTCCAGGCAGGCGCCTGCCCTGGCCATGGGATGGGGCGCCCTTGCACAGCCTTGCGCTGGGGACACGGCCTCTCATTGACCAGGCTCCGCTCTCCCAAGGACACGGCTTTCCTTGTTGCAGGGAAAGAAGTATCTGGAATCTGGGCACCCTGCTCTGGGGGCCTATCTGGGCTGTCCCCAACAGGGCATAGTTAGCATGTCCCGAGTCACCTTCATGGTGCTAGGACTTGAGCGCTGTGTGCACAGTCCTGCACCCGACCCTGAGGTGGCCCTGTTAGCTCCCGTGTTTACTGCTGAGGAGACTGAGACTCAGAGAGGCTAAGTGACTTCCTTGAGGTCACACGGCTGGTGAGGTTCGCCTGGGTGCCCTGGTCATTCTTGCTTCCGGACCTGAGCTCGCCACCCTGCAGGTGGACGAGACGGGAGGCAGGGCCTGAGGTGGGCCAGCCATGGGCACTGATGTGGTGGTCTCCCTCTTTCCTCTCTCCTGCTTTAGGACCCCGGCTGTGCCAACCAAGCTCTGATCAGCAAGAAGCTTAATGATTATCGCAAAGTGAGGTGAGACCCAGCCCTCAGGGAGCGGTCCCCGTCGTGGGGTGGGGGAACTCCAGCCTGAGGGCATCCTCCTGCCCCCCTCAGGCCAGAGGTTCCCAGATGGGCCTGGACGAGTTGCCTCAGGCTGGAGGGAGGTCCCGGGAGTCGGGAGGCAAGGGAGGGTGGCAAGGGAGGGTGGCGTCTGGGCTGTCGCTCATGCCCCTCCTCTCCCCTTTCCCCACACAGCCATAGCTCTGGGCCCAAAGCCGATTCCTCCCCAAAAGGCTCTCGGGGCCTGGGAGGCCTCAAGTCTGAGTTCCTCAAACAGAGTGCAGCGCGTGGCCTCCGGACTCAGGACCAGCCAGCAGGGAGCAAGGGTAGGGTGGTGTGCACAGGGTGGGGGGTGCTCACTGGAGCGTGTGTGTGTGTGTGTCTGTCTGCTCTTGTGTGCCTGTCAGAGTCTCTTGGGGTCTCCTCCCTGCCGTCCCTGCTGAGTGGTCCCGCAGCCTCTGCCTGTGTCCCTGCAGGGGTGAGAGGCTCTGTCTCCGGGACTGGCCTTTTCGATCTCCACATAGCTCTGGCTGCTGGAAGGTTCTTCCCTTGGCTGTGCCAGAGCCTGTGGCCACACAGCATGGCTTTAGCCCACGAGGCCACGTGGAAGTCCTTGCATTTCTCTGAGCCTCTCAGGGTGGCTGCCTCATCCCTAGGCCTTCCCTCTGGGGATCTCAGCATCCCGGCCGTTTCCCCAGTGGAGTCTCCGTGTGAATGTGGCAGCCAGCACGTGTGACCCGCCCGGGCACCCCGGCTCACCCTGGCTCTCCCTGTCTCCCCCTTTCCAGATGACAGTGTTGCAGCCCCCAAGACCCCGTGGGGCATTAACATCATCAAGAAGAACAAGAAAGTGGCCCCGAGGGCGTTTGGGGTCCGGCTGGAGGACTGCCAGCCAGCCACGGAGAACCAGGTGCGTGTCTGTGCTGGCAGAAAGGGGAGACCAGGGCCTGGGGTCAGAGCAGCCAGGGACATGGGGTGGGTTCTCCACTGCCTTGTACAAACACAGCTGGGGAAACAGCCCAGAGGGGGAAGGCCCATCCCCCACTCGCGTCTCCCAGGGAGGGGGCCGAGTTCTGTCCCAGACCCAGCCGAGCCTTTGGCGCTATTTCTAGCTCCCAGACTGGGGGTAGCAAGGGGCTTTTGTTCCCCACAGGGTTCCTGGCAGCAGCGCTGGGCCTTACTCTGTCCTGTCTTGGCCTTCCCACCTCCTCTGGCCCCCGCTCCCCCTAACGCCCCCACCCTGCCTGTGTCCCCAGCGCGTCCCCCTGATCGTGGCTGCCTGCTGTCGAATCGTGGAGGCCCGGGGGCTGGAGTCCACGGGCATTTACCGAGTGCCTGGCAACAACGCAGTGGTGTCCAGCCTGCAGGAGCAGCTCAACCGCGGGCCCAGTGACATCAACCTGCAGGATGAGGTGGGTGGGGCGGGGGAGTTGGGGGGGCAGGAAAT